CATATCTTCGTAAGCTGATAGCTGCCACCGGGAGAAAAACGAAACACATGGATTTTCATTCAAAACTTGCGTTCTTCTTTTTGCTAATTAAAAATAATTTTTACCTAAATTTTCATTTTTTGTCTACATTTTTAGATTAACAAAACGCATGTTTTTTAGATTCATTCGATGTAGTCTTGATTGTTTCGGTAATCGTACTCGTGTTAACATCCAACACGCTTTTCAAATAAGGCACCTGTCACAGTTTATACCTTTGCAATCAAATACAAAATACTACAAAAGAGTTTAAGCTTCAGATATTGAACGAAACGTCTGGAGGTATATCATAGAARAAAGCGAAATAAGGTCAATTTTTCAAACATTTTGAGTGTATAATTTACCTTTAGCGAGATGTAATCGTTTTCGATGTATACATTGCATTTTCCTAGTAGTAAGGTGTGGTGTATATTACTTTATTAGACATTCAACACACGAGGAAGGCATTACCTGTGTCATTTTCTCGCGATTAGCTTTTGGGTTCAGAGGTGCCTCTGTTAGTAACACTGGATGTTCTTCTGGTGCCACGCGTAGCTCGTTGTAAAAAGTATGATGCCAAATCTATCGAAATAGAGCAAAACAGRATTATTATTAATTTGAGTTTTAAAAAAAGAATAATCACTAAGATAGTTTTACCTTTTCCATATCGTCCCAGTTGGTAACGATTCCATGTTCAATTGGATATTTCAAGGTAAGAATACCTCTYTTGCTTTGCGCCTCATCTCCAACGTACGAGTCCTTTTGCCCCATGCCAACCATAACGCCTTGATGACGGGGTCGTCCGACGATGGAAGGAAAGACGGCTCGTGGAGCATCGTCTCCAGCGAAACCAGCCTTGCACATACCAGAGCCATTATCTATGACCAAAGCAGCAACATCCTCATCKGCCATGTTGGTTYTAAAATTTACTTACAACGAACAAGATTTTCCGTCAAGTGAAGGAAAAAAATTGTCACGCTTCTTTTGAAGTAGCTATGCAACGCGCTGATTGGCTGCGGTAATTTCCTCTACTTCCTTATTAAGATCCCAATGCTATTGGCCTATCAAAACAATGCTATGACATCATCGTTGCCTTGGTGTACAGGTGCTACACTAGAAGACATTGTGTTATTCACTTCTGCCTTCACAGCTTGTTCGTATATTAGCTACAATATAAAAATGYCATGATTTCAACAATGATAAAACAGGTATTGAGAGGAAGTAGTAAATCAACTTGGTTTAGACAAAACATCATCATGTTGGTAATATATGGAGATATCCATGTTTACAATACAAATAGTACGAGGATACAAATACCKATATTTTCCTTTTCTTGTTGTTCTATCCTTTTTAAAGATTATCTTGATGACTTTAGGCTTAAAATCTCTTGACTCAGAAAAAAAACAGCCGGGTAAATTGTAAWTGTGCTTTATTTTCAAACGGTTCATTCCGGTCTACATGGAGTACATACTGGTACCATCACTTAAGTATGTTTTTATTACAACACAGATTAGCCATTCATTATGAAAAACTAACAAAGAATTTGTGATTTTCTATGAAAAATCCACTATAAGTGAGACAAAAAATACAAAACTTATGCGAGTTGGCATTCAAACTTGAGTGTAGGTGATAGTTTAGCGTCCAAGAGCGTTGAGTTCACGAGACATCTGGCACATGGCACATACACCACAGAAGTTCATGATGATTGCGTCATTACACAGGGAACCCTAAAACAAACGATAACAAATCATTATACAGGGATTCCGAAAGAGAAAGAAAGAAAGAAAGCATATACCTGGATGTGCTGCTCAGTCCTGAGTTTGGCCCTCAGAGCCAAAGGTGCTCCCTGACAACAGCAAGCAAAACAACAGCCTTCACCCATTCGCTGTGACACTTGGATCGTCAATATACATGGACACAAGAATCCAATCAAACCTATCAATAAAACAATTATGATTACGTTTCAACAAGTGAAGTGAGATCATCTATGTAGGTTTCCGAGTCTTAAGATACGGAACATAWTTTAATTCTGTTCATATAATCATATGATTTTATTGATAAATCTTTTTATATTTTTGCATGTATGTCACGTGCTTCTCGTATACTAATTGACCATGACTTAGCATTCCATGCTGAATTCATGTACAACACATTTGTATATTGTATCAGAGTTAGCAGAGGGGAACAGTTCCCCTCTACTGACTCTGATTGTACCGGGACACCAGACAAGTGGTCTAAGCTGAGTGAAACTGAAGCACGGAATCCAACGCAAAACTCTGTCACTTTAGGGAAGTTCAGCCTGGTTCGCTAGTCAGTCAGAAGGTCCACACAAAAAATAATCAAATAATTCAATTCTCTACCGAGTTTAGTCCTCTATCACTTAGAGGCTGTTCGGTGCCGTTACGGACATGTCCCGAAGTGCCTGTTGTGCCGATGGGTTTGCCGTAACGAAATGCGTTATATACCCATATCTCCTGGGTACCGAAAACATATCAAAKAAAAAAAGTTTTGATTACTTCAATCAACTTCCGAAGTTTTCCGCCATTTTATTTCTACTGGCGCTATATGTTTTAATAGTCTGATAAAGTAGCCAATCAGAGCGCGCGATTGCTTACTTGCCGGACGTGATTAATTCACAGAAATGAGGAAAAAAACCCATCATTGCATCACTCAAAAACACGCTCAAACTTACAAGATCCAATGTCGTCGAAGCAAGAGAAAAGACTCGAATTCCAGTCTCTATAGGCAACGGTCCCAGATTGTTGGACAACAACAGTTGTCTGCATACCAGGTTGTGCAGTCACTACTTGCGCCATGTTGAACTATGCCGCTGCACTGAAAACTAAACAAATTAACTCTCAGTCGCTATAATTACATATGATTATAGGTTTAACCATCAAATCCCGGTTGCACGAAGATTCACCACTCCATATAGTTTTATATGGATTGCATCCGCTATTCGGCTTTCGTGCAACTCCGGACCCCAAATGTCTTACACCAAATGATCTTACACCCAGAACCAGAAATATAGCACGCTCTTCCACCAATCACAGCTGTGACATTACGAATCTACATTTATATGCGGTGTTTTTTTCTGTTTGAGATGTTAAATATTAAATTTATGACATTAATGACAGCACCTGCTAGAAGATGACTGAACAATAAAGAAACCTCAAAGGTTTTGTGAATATTTTCAATGCCGGTCTATTATAAATTCTTATATTATTATTTCATGTCGATTTTTCAATAAACTTTCTTATAATGTTTTCAAGTGAACGGTCAATATAATGAAAATAATATAAATGAAAACACAAATAAACTATGTAATGAATGATATTAAACGAGTATGCTTGCTGCGGCCACGTGCGTGGTACCAGAGCTGTTTTAGCTTGGGTTTTTTAGCCGACTTTTCATTTATACCGCAACCGAGTGACAGTGTTTTCACTCAAGCCTCTGYCAAGTTATTGAATAGTCACATTACATGTATATGATGAATATACGAAAGATAAGCGGCTGATTTGTATTACGTTTAGCTGTATAGCGACTGCATTCCTTGTATATCAATTTCAAATTAAACAGTATTGCATCCCAAAGTATGCTAGGCACAATAGTTATTCATTGTTTAGTGCACCTATAACAACTAACTATACTCTTGAGCTAACTAGAAAACATTAAGATGTCCGCTCAGACACTCATGCTTGTCATACCAAATATTCGCCTCACACGCAATGTTGAACAAGGTCGAGATCTATATTATTTTTCCAACCACATCCAATTAACGCAACTGGGAGTACATGAAAAAAATATGAAATATAACTCGATCTTTTTGAAGAAAAATATGCGAAAATCCATGTAAAGAATAAACGCATTAAGATATAAATGTTCTATGATAATGGCAATAAGCTTACGTAGGATATTCCATGCATGTTGGTCTATTCACCAGGCTAAAACGACACTCCCTAGGGTTGAGAATTGGCGAAACAATTCTAGATACTCTACTTTATCTACTATATTYATAAAATGAATGATACTTCAAACTAAACATGTGGCTTCCATGCACTACAATGCTTTAATAGCAGCGAACGTCGTGTTCGGGTTTGATCGAACTATATGGCTTTTATTTCAYGAAAACGAGTTCTATACATTTCATCGCTACAGATATCCTGCAGTACAATCCTGGATGATTAGAATTACTGAAGCGCTTCTTACCTTGAAAAACAGTTTAGGAATCTTGGTAGAAGAGATATACCTCAAGGCACTGGACGACACCCTTGTTGACTCAAGAGCATGCAAATATATGTAAAGCGTAACACAATCCGTGCTCGTTATGACATCGTCAAGCCAACCACGACATGATCGATAAACACGACCCAGCGGGATATTGACCTTTTTACCAATTACCGCAAAAACTGATATCAAAAAATCACTATGATATTGACGGAATATAGCCTCGGAGGCATWTCTATAAACCACTAGGTGCGAAATAAGCGGACAGCACAAAACGACTGCCTTTGAGCTAACGTTTTCATCGATGCAGAGAATACTCCCCGCTAATCCTAAACACAGCCAACTTTTTTAATTAATAAGCGTTTAAAACTTTCAAAGCGCGGTAATGTTTTTTTTAATTTATTTTGTTCTGAGAATTGTGCGTTTGGAAGGGGACTAGTTAGTTCAGTAGCCACGCCATGTTAAAGACATCTGGTAAACGATTAGTTCAAAACAAAAAATAATAACAATAGTAATAATTATAATACAAAAAAATAATAAATAAGWCAGACCAATTTCAAAAGTTAAAACTCCCGCATGTGCCGGCTCGATGCAAACGATTAGTGAAGACTGAAGATTGGAGTAATTTGCACTGAATTCCACARATGTGAAAATACCATCTGGTTTTYCSGKYCMRGGKKKYCMMCYT